CTGTGTGTTGCTGAATATTTATCTGCTCTGGGCCAGGGATCCTGCGACAGCGGCTCTTGGTGGCCCCAACAGTTTGCACGAGGCAATGCGACTGTGAGCCACCCCTGGGGGTTAATGGGGCTTTTTCACCTTACCTTCAGTTTCCGCCTGGCATTAAATTCCTGCAGTTTCTTCTGCGTGCTGTCCATGTGAGCAAATTTAGCGGCTTTCCCGGTGACCCAGGGATGCTCCAGAGCCTGGTAGACAGTCAGTCTCTTCTGGGGGTCCAGAACGATCAATTTTCTGACCTGTAACCAATTTCAGACACATGAAAAGGCTTCATTTTGTTAAATGCCCCCTACTTTTGTTATCTTCACAAGCATTGATTGGAAGGCTTCATACTCAGCAGCCCCGAGCCCCGCTCTGCCGAGCCCCAGCGCAGGCTCACTCACCAAGTCCTTGGCGTTGAGGGAAACCTCGTCCCACCACGGGGACACAAACTCATAGTCGCAGGTGAGGATGCGGCTGTACATGTACTGGTCCCCTCGTGGGTCAAAGAAGGGCTCGAAGCCACAGAGCCTGCGAACACAGGAGACAGGAGCTACACGCCGCTGCCGGTGCAGCCGTGCTGGCATTTTGGAGCGGAGCAAACCGTCTCACCGCTGCGGCAGCATTACTCACAGGATGTAGGTGATGACGCCCACGGACCACATATCCACTTCAGGGCCGTACGGGCACCCGTGGAGGATTTCGGGGGCTGGAAGCAGAGTTTGGGGTTCAATGCATGGGTGTGGGGAGCTCCCAGCAGCACGGCCGCAGTGCGATCCTCAGGCTGGAGGAAACGCCTGGGCACCAGCAGTGTCTCCCGAGCCCAGCACTGCCATCAGCCATCCCTGCACCAAGCTGTGTGCGGCCTGTGGCAGGGAGCAGCCTCCCCAGGTCCCCCAGCTCTTCCGTCCCACTCACCGCAGTACCCAGGCGTCCCGCAGACAGTTTTCATGGTGTCCTGTTCATCCACGATCTTGGAGAGCCCAAAGTCACCTTGGAGGGACACAGAGGGGAGCGGCGCTGCCGTCAGGGAGAGGCACCATTAACCCCCCTTGTGCCACGAACCTCCCCCCTGGGGGGGCTTCCATCAAACCCACCGATTTTAAGGGGAGCCTCGGGGGACAGGTCTGCATAGAGCAGGTTCTCCGGCTTCAGGTCGCGGTGGACGACTCCGTTTTCGTGCAGATACTACAGCGAGAGAGAAAGCGGGGATGCAGGAAGGAGGGGAAGCCCCATCTGCCTCGGACAGACTGTCTGCGATCGGGGACCCAGCACGAACACAGGACCAACTCGCCCGCCTGTTCCTTTGGAAACACCCAATGCTTGCGGTGCCGGGGCTGCCGAGGCGCGGGAAGGACGTTTCCCGTTAGGAATTTCCATGTTAAAACCCTCCCGTTGCCATAGAAACCCCATCTCCAGCCCACTCGTGATGCAGAGCAGCGCTGACCTTCCTCCCTCCTCTCCTTCCTCCCCCTAAACGCAGCTCGGGAGAGGCGTCTCCGCCAGCAATGCCTTTGGAGGGCCAAGGGCAAGCAGGCAAACGCTTCTCCCCAGGGGTGCTGGGGGCTCTGGGTGCCTCTCCCCAGGGGTACCCTGGGAGGGCGCAGCCCCCGCAGAACCACCCCTGAGCTGTGCAGGCGCCTCCACAGCGG